TGTTACGCTGCCCACTAGGCCAGAGGCCAGCAGCCAAGTTCTGCCTTACATCCGGCTCTCAGCTGAGATGGGAGGCCTGGGAAGCTGAAGGGCACCAAGCATGGAGACAGAGCTCAGCAGTACCCCTCTTCCCCAGGGCCTCTTACATGGACCATTTGGGGAGCATGTCTTGGGAGGGGACATGGGGTTTCAGGGTACACTCAAGCAGATGCAAGGCTTATTTGAACATTTGCTCCCAAAGCCCCTCCCTTTGTTGAAGCCACCAGTTCCTGTTGTATTCATTCATTTATGCATCTGTCTGCCCACCCAGACATCCATCCATCTTCCTGTCCGTTCACCCACAAACTACCCACCCAAACAGGTAGCAGCAGTCTTTTCAAACTCTGCACAAAGGTCTTCAGAACCCACAGCAGACTGGTGAGTCAAGAAACCAGGGAACTGCTGGGCTACTGAGAACTTGCGGTTCAGAATAGAAGAAACTGAGCAACCAGTAACAAAGACTTCACAAAGTGGCAATACAGGACAGCTGTCCATCCCAGCCCCTAAAGCGATGCTGGCTGGCGGCTCCTGGCCTCACCTGGCCTTGCACTCAGTTCCCTGCCTACCTACAGGCTGGCCCTCTTAATTCATTCTTTTATTTCCTTAGGTAAACAACACACAAATGGTTCTCTTAGATGTAGAACTTGCACACATGGCTCAGGCGTCCCTTTACCTGCCTCTCCAGGATACTTGGAGGCCTTCTGTATTTACACACATGTGGGCACACTCTGGGAAACGCGGGCCTTTGTGTCATTTGATATAAAAGATGCCTGTTATGTGGCTCACTCTCCTCCCATAACATCCCTGGGACAGTGGGAGCTACTCAGACAGCAGAGCAGCCTCCAGCACTGGAGCCCGAGTTTACACTTGCCTTCACTGAGCAAGCTCACTGGGCTTCCTAGGCCCCAACCCCAGAGCAGGTTTCATTCAGGATCTTCATCCTCCAGCCTGTGAAGGGGGCTCAGCCCTTTCCCTCTCCAAGCCCTGACTCTACTGCTGTCAGAGTCCTCTCCATTTCATCTGGCTCTGTCTAGGACCAGCCTGCATGTGACCTTTGGTAAGGGGCCTCTTATCTTCTGGTCTCCCTAGCCATCCATCCTTCCCCTGGCCTCTGACTGCACCAATTGTCCAGCTGTCAGTGTGTGTGTGTCACCATCCCTCGGTGCCCAAAGTAGTCCCAGTCACTCAAGGGCTGTAGTTCAGGAGTTCAGGCCTTGCTGAATTAAACTGCCACCCACTCTCAACAGTGTCCCTTGGTCTCTCCGGATGACTGAGTTGGAAAGCTGTCAGTGACTCCTGCTCAGCAGCAGGGGGCAGTAGCAACCTGGGAAACCTCCCAGGGCCAGAGTGACTTCCTGTAAAAATGCTGTTCAGGAAAGCACACATTCTGGACACTACAGAGAACTAATGTCACAGCTGTCCTGAGAGGCACACGAGTCATGTATGAGGAAACTGAGAACCCATGAGGTTAAAACAGCTTCTGCCAAGTTGGAAGCTAGTGTTAGGGCAGGTGTGAATGGTTTTCCCACCAGACTGCCCACCTCAGAGCCCTCCCCACACCACTTGGGGTGGTAGAGGGATTGAGTGTCACCACCATGCTCACATGGCAAAGGTTCCTACCTAGGGTTATCAAGTTGGAAAGAAAAACTTCCAAATTAGTGGGGGCAGGACCTCAATTTGTCACTTGGTTAGGGTTGCAGGGGTGAGTAGTTCTGGCCTCCTCTACAAGCTTTCTGGGAACTCTGCTCCCTTTCTATGTCTTCTGCAGGTCCTGTGAGGGCAGTTCCTCCCCTCTGCCGTTCCTCCATTCACTCTCTTCACAGAGCTGAACATGTGTTCAGAGCCTGCCCAATCCGGGCTCTGACACACAGCAACTTCAATCCTCAAAGCCAAGATGGGCAAAGCCTGGACATCCATAGTCATGCACTCCTGAGGAGTGTCATGTGAAGCCCCCATCCTTTCAGAGCACTTTATTAGCAACTCTAACTGGTCTTAGGTGATGGGGACCTGCTGCCCTCAATCGCTTTGCTTCTTGGTCATCCCTGCTGTAGGTCCTCACTGGACTAGAGATGCACGTCACACCTTCTATTCATTTCCCAATGTCTGACAAAGACTGCCTCCTTCCTAAGACTTACCCTCATGCGGACCCTGGGTGCCCATCAGCAGCTGGCCATCTCCTCCCAGCCAGAAAGCATCCCTCCCCAACCACGTCTAGAGTCGTCTAGTTCACAGCCTGAGATCCTGGAAACAAGATGGGCTGCAATCCAGGCTTTAAAGCTTTATTAAGCACCTGCTGTGTGCAGGGCTGGGGATAAAAGTGGGAGCAGACAGCAGCTAGCTCCATAGATTGTATCTGGTCCACCCACTCTTGTACAGTGTGTGTCTGTCTCTCCATCCAGCTGTCATTCCTCAAACCCTTTACCATCTTCCTGTCTGCCCACTACTAAAATATACTTGGTGGTCCAGCTCTTGCCTCCAACTTTGCATCCATGTTTTTTCATAAGGTGTCCCTTCAAAAATGCAGCCAGTGATGGCCAGCACCTCACGCCTGAATGTTCTTCCTGCCCACACCCCAGTCAGGAACTCTCCCTGCTGGGGGGCTGAACTGGTCCCTGGAGAGCTGCCAAGAACACCTGCAGTCTGTGGCTCCCAGAGGATGTGAAAACCACAGCATACTTTGGTCTAAGCGTCTGAGGGGGTGCAGCAGGGTGGTGCTGTATGCACGTGCCGGAAAGCAGCTGCGGTTTCTGCTGGCCTGAGAGCCTCACACACCCTGGGCCTAGGTGCAGTCTCAGTGTTGAAACTACCAGTGTTCCAGAACTTTCCAACCCTGAGTCCAATGCTGAGGACATTCATGCATTCCCTGGGTGACTCCACCAGCTACCCTGTTTTACACTTGAGGCTAAGGAGATTTTGGCTGATTTCTGCTGACTGCTTTCTGGTCCAACTCTGCAGACTAGACAGACATTGAGGGCAGATGCTGTATCCTGGAGTCCCAGCCAGGATGGAGGTTTCCCACAGTGTCCAGAGCAGGTCAGGCTCTCCACTGCCTCAACCTTGTCTGGTTTTGCAAATACCACTCCACATCTCAGATGGGCACCCCTGCAGGAAGGACAGACCATTCAAGAAGAAAAAGACAAACGATAAGGAAAGTAGGGAGGAAGGAGCAAAAGGGATGGAGGCAAGAGAAAGAAAAAGTCAAGGTCTAAATAATCTTAGCACTGTCTAGCTCCTATACTGTCCTGGTGTCTGGGGAGGAGTGTTCCAATACCACCCCATACTTCTTAGCTTCCCTCACACAGCATGCTCTCAGGAGTCACTGGATGCAAGGGGATCTTCCCTAAGTCCCCAGGATAAACATGGCACCAAGAACAGGGGAAGAGCAGATACTGGCTACACAGTGCCCAAAAGCTACTTCTTTCTTCCCTCCCTCCTTCCTTCTTTCCTTCCATCCTTCCTTACTTCCTTTTTCCTTTCTTTCCTTCTTTCTTTTTTTAATATGCATTAGTGTTTTGCCATGGGTTTTAGGTTCCCTGGAACTGGAGTTACAGACAGTTGTAAGCTGCCATGTGGGTGCTGGGAATTGAACCTGGGTCCTCTGGAAGAGCAACCAGTGACCACTGAGCTCTCTCTCCAAACCCTAGAAGCTACTTCTTGATGGCTTTTTTTGTGTCCCCTCTGTGGGTGTCACACAGAGGGTTCTGTGGGTAATGTGCTCTGTACCCTCTCTCCATGCCTGATACTTGATAAATATTCCCTGAGTACTTAGAGAAATTTTTAATAAGCCACGGAAAACCAGAAACAAACAAACAAACAAAAAAAACTCCAAAAAAACAAAAAACAAAAGAAACCTTGGTTGGTGGTTCTGCTTCTGGGAGACCAGGCTGTGTATATCTCAGCCCAAAAATGCACTCAGTGCCCTTAGCAGGATTCTCCACAGATACCCAGACTATGCGTGTATGCTGACTTTTTTCATCCTCCCACCTCGGGGCATGCACCTGGTTCTAGAAGCCACAAAAGTCAAGAAGCTGAAAGGGGATGCAAGCTGCATAGGGCAGAGCCAGGGCAGCTGTACCATTCTAATGTCCAAGAAAGCAAAGTCTGCAGGGTTTGGAGTGACTTCTTCAGGTTGCATGGCCTAGAGCCACCAAAGCTGGGGTTCACAGCTACATTCTTAAGTCCCCCCAACCTTCCCACTCCAATGGGTACTACTCTATCTTTTACCCAAGGAGAGAAGACAGTAACAGCCTGGACTTCATAGGTTCTGGATATGCCACCTGGTTGGGCTGGGTTTGGTGATAGTGCCCTGGGGCAGCAATCTGGACCAGTGTCTTGACACTGACTGTGGCCACCCCACATGTCTGCAAGGGAGAAGTCAGAGGCTTATGTCTAAGAGACACCTACACTCATGCATGCACACAGTGAGCTCAGGCAGACGCACACAGGTATGACAGTGGACAGAAGGCATGCACAGGCATTTCTCACACATGGATGTGCTAACACACTCAAGCCACACATGTACACACACATACCTACATATTCACACTGTAAATGTCAGGCTCAAAGGCCATCCAGCGACTACAGGCTTCTGACCTCTCCTCATCACAGCTGGCTACTGTATGCTAGCTGGCCTGGGCTCCACTGTTCACGGGTAGAGGGGTCCTGACCACCCACTGGCGGAGATAGCTGCGAGGGGGCCCTTCATCACTCTCCACGGGACTGCCACAGTCTGAGCCTGCAAAGCCGCTGTCAAAAGTGTCCATGTCCAGGCCAGGGGGTGAGCCTGCTTCACTCTCAGAGCCCCCTCCTGGGGACCCAGTTCTCCAGGGTGGGCCTGCTGTCCAGTCCCTTTCCACGTCAAGGGGCAGCCTCAACCTGTCCAGGAGACTGCCTGGGGAGCCTCCCAGCCTGAGGCCACCACCTGAGACACAGCCACATGACAGAAAAGTGGTGTTTGTGACCAAGAGCAGATTTTCTGCATTAGGGCCAGACTCTGGGCCAGCATCCAGGTTCAGGGCTGGGTAGCCATCATCTGTCCCGCAGGTACAGGGCCAGGCACATGGGCCCTCTGCATCCCCCACAGTCACTGTGTCGATGGACACCAAACCATACGGCCGGTCTCTCTCCTCACTACTATAGGCTGAATGCCCTGTGACAGCTGCCAAGGGGACTGTGCACCAGTGGCCAGGCTCGGACACCCCATCACACTCCAGCTGCTCTTCCAGACCTGGTGGCCCCAGGAACTTCTTTCCCTTGACCGGGTATGATGACGAACAGCTGTCATGCACTTGTAGAGCTGAGGTTGCTGTGAGATTCCGTGGTGCCAGCTCCAGGCTAGAGGCCGTGAAAGGGGTATCCACCCATTTCTATGAGAAAGAAACATGGTCAGAGGCTGGGGCAGATGCTTGGGTGTGAACAGACAGAGTCAAAGATACATGGACACTGGGACACATAGATGAGAGAGGAACAAGACACCAGCAGAGAGAGACAGGCAGGACCATGATGAACCCCTCTCCAGCGGGCCTCTAATACTGTCCTTCTCTTTCAAAGCCCGTGTCCCCACCTGCAGTAAGGAAGGACTGCCTTCGGTCTCATAATCACTCCAGTAAGCAGTGGTCAGCTGGGTGCATACCCTGTCTCCTGACACTTCCTGAAGCCTTCAGTTCTGCTGTGTATTCATACAGGAGTGAACATTTGGCCAGGAGTGAGCCCTGCTCACAGCTGTGTCCTTGGTAGATTTACCATAAATGCTTATGGATGGAGTGGATCAGTAACGAGCTGTGTAGAAAAGCCTTTAGGGGACACTGGACTGAGAATCTGGCCCTGAAGCCTTGAAACCCTCTTGCCTCTTGCCTGCCAGCATCTTGTTGAGGCTAGGAGAGTCTTCGTTGGGTTGGCAAAAGTCACCATGTAAAGTAAGATCTCTGTGGTGATATTTTGGTTATGATCTAACAAATAAAGCTTGCCTGAACATCAGAGTGCAAAGCTAGCCACACCAGTTAGCCATAGAGGCCGGGCAGTAGTGGTACACACCTTTAATCCCAGCCCTCAGAAGACAGAGGCAGATGGATCTCTGTTAGTTCAAGGCCACCCTGAGCTACACGAAATTGATTCAGTCTAAAAGAGAAACAAAACTCACACAGAGGTGATCTCAGCACTTGGGATCCCATGCCTTTAATTCCAGCACTAGAGAGGAATATAAGGCAGGAGAAGATAGGAGCATAGTGCAGTGTGAGGTTGGCTGAGACAGAGTCAATCTGGAGTCAGTCTGAGGACATGATCACCCCTTCAGTCTGAGCATTGGTAGAGACGAGAACTCTCTAGTGGCTGGCTGCTTTGCTTTAACCCTCAATATCTGTCTATGGGTTTTTATTACTAATACCAACTAGAATTCATGGTACAGACCCCAGTTCTGAGAAGGTCCCCTCATAAAACATCTCAGAACCACAATGTTCCCCTACCCCTGACCTGGAGTCATTTCTTAGATGTGTGGCCTTGAGCTAGACCCTTGCTTTCTCTGTGTCTCATTTTCCTCATCTATAGAATGGGCCCATCCACGACAGTATCCTGAGGATTGAGTGAGGTAATGTTTGCTTGCTGACAGTGCATGTCATACAAAATTAACAGCAACACACACACAGTGCAGCAGTGCTGAGTTTCAGGGCTAAGAAAGGGGTGTGGGCATGCCCTTGCCCTGCTCTGAAAGGCCCACTGGCCACTCTGAGCCTGGTCCTCCTCTTGGAGCCCCAGTGCTGCTGGGAACCCACTGCAGGAGCTACTGTAAAGGTGCAGCCACAGGCCAGGTGCACAGCAGGTGTTCCTTGGGTGCCCTGCTGTCTGACTTCCGTGGGCTGCTGCAGGTGGCTGTTCCCTATCCTGACACCACATCCTCTCTTCGGTGCCTCCTGCCCTGCTGGGTTTGCTCAGCAGTGCTGGGCAGACACTCAAATGACAGTACTTGGCAGGGAGAGGGATGTGTTGTAGGGTAAGGCAGGTCCTTCCCAGGTAGGATTTGCTCCCTACCACAGATCAAGGCCACCACAGGAAACACCAGGCATCCAGCTCACACACCCAGGGCCACCCAGTTTGCCCACTTCCACAGTAACTCTAAACTGGAAATACATCATGATGCCTACATCTAAGAGCAATTCTGCCCCTTGCAGAATAGGGAAACTGAGGACTGGTTCCAGATCAGGTTGGGCCTGAAGACTCTGGGCTCACAGAGTGGTCTTGGGGTTAGGGTGAGAGTTGGTAGGGCTCCCCCAAAGGGCAAACCCTCCAGAAGACACATCCAAGGTGGCTCACCTTGAAGTTCCCGTTGTGTTCCCAGTATAGGGGCTGGAAGAAGCTCTCAGGGCTGGGCACTGGTGCCCATACCTTCTTCCATAATCTGCAAAGAAGGGGGTGAGTAAAGCCTTGTGGCAGCAAGTAGAAGGTCTGGCCTCACTGCTTCAGAAGCAACAGCTTCTATTGCCAGACACCTTCCTGCCCACCCATCAGTAAAACGGAAGCAGCAGTTACCCTCACCCCCAAGCTTCTTGCACATTCTCAAGCTCCTGCCTTTGCCATCTAGTGCAGGCTAGGTCTTGACTTCCTCATCTACCATGATGGGGGCTGGGAGAGGCCCATGCTGCCACCATCAGTTGTGACTGGCACACTGGTCTCTCCCTTCCAGATTCTCTGTCTCTGTCTGAGCATCACATTGGAGGGGAACACAATGAGTGTGTGCAGAGCCCCATTGTCGTTTATCAAAGGACTCTGCACACAGCAGCCTGCCACAGCACCTGTGCCAAGGAGGTGAGCTCTGTTCTGAATCATTGGCCTCCTTTCTCTCCATGGCATGCAGAGCAGAAGCCCTGTGTGTAAAGCAGATCGCAGATCACCCTTAAGCTGAATCTAAGGGATGGAGAGGGGTGAGTGATCACCCCTTGGGCCTCAAAGTTCACTCTCTGGATAAGGTCACAATCAAGGTCCCCTCAAAGAACATGAAGTTTCTATCCCCACTGTTGTCACTTTATAGTTGTGTGACTTTGGGCAAGTGCTTGACTACTCTGTGCTTTGGTTTTCCTTGTATGAAGAGTAAGGTATCCGCAGTGTGCCAAGGTCACACGGCAGCCATGGAGCTGGGGCAGGAGTGTCACTACTCTCACCAAGTCCCCTGCCCAGACAGAATAGACCTTGGTTGGAGGGGCTGTGGCCCAGGATGACCCCTTCTCTGCCTCCCCGAGCCCCTGGCCTCACCTCCAAGGCAGGTGGTTCTTCAGACCCATGATAATCAGGACAGGGGCCGAGACAATCAGGAGGAGCAGCAACAGGTGAGGGTCCAAGCCTGCCTTGGGCTCTGCATAGAGAGCAAACCGTGGGTCCAACAGAAAAGTCTCCTGGAACTATGTGGGTGGGTGTGCTGGGTTTGGTGGGGTGGAATGGAGGGCTGGGAGGAAACTGAGCTCTGATCCCTCCCTTGGGGATTTGTGGAATGACCCCTCCCCCAAAGGCTCCTGTATCAGAGATAAGGTCCCAGCCTGGATGCTACGGGAAGGTGGTAGGACCTTAGGACTCAGAGACTAGTGGGAGGAGGTTAGGTCATTATGGACACACTAAAGGAATATTTGGATCCCAGCCCTTACTCTGTCTTTGCTTCCTGATTACCATGAGGTAAACAGTGTCATACACTCCCCCGAATGCAACAGGTCAAGACCAGGCTGGAGAAACCCACAGAAACAGCTGGCCTGAACAGGGGGTTGCTCATGGACCCCAGACTGATATCTGGGAAACCAGCATAGGACTGTTCCAGCATAGGAGGAAGTCAGTTATTGGAGGTCTGGACAATCTATGGGGCCACTGGTAGTGGATCAGTATTTACCCCTAGTACACAAATGGACTTTTGGAGCTCTCTCCACATAGAGAGATACTCTTTCAGCCTAGACACAGGGAAAGGGAACTGAGATTGACATGTAAAAGAAGCTTGTTTCTAATTTGAATTTAAAAAAAAAGAAAAAAAAAGCAATCATGACCCAAACCATATGCTAAAATAACCCTTCTTTCTACTCTACCAAGTTGATTATCATATCAGGTATTTTATTCTCATCCCAGGCAAGTGGTGTCATCTCTCTAAGCTTTAGTTTTCTCTTCTGTAAAATTGGGGCAATGACTCTCCCTTCAGAGCCAGGAGTTAAATGTACCATCAGAAGCAGCAGTTCCCCTCATGCATCTGGGCATGAATAACTGAGCACACATCTCCAAGCCACACTGGGAACCTTGGGCTTGTGAAGCCACAATAGGACCAGATTTAGTACCAGAAGTGGGGTTTCCCACCAGTGTCACACTTACCCTCAGCCTGAAAGATGACAGGGTTACTCCACTCACTCCAGGTCCCTCTGAATGAACTGCTTGTCTGGGGTGCTGCCCGCACCTGCAGCTGGTAGGTAGAGCCTTTGTGGAACTCTTCAGGGAGAAGGGAGGCATTCCGTGAGTCCACTGAGATCAGCTTAGTTACCGGCCTCTGCCAGGATGGAAGGAACATGATGCTCTGTAGTTACCCAGGACATCAATGGAGTGCCCAGTCCTCCCACTGGAGGAAGCATGCATCCCCGACTAGCACTGCCTGGAAAAGGGTCTCCCTCTCTGTGGCAGTGGACACACTTCCAACTGACAGTGTCCTGGGAATAACGATGGCCATCCCTGTACATCACTAACCAGAAGCTTCACAGACAGTAAGCCCCTGGGCTCCATGTCTCAGATAACAGAGGACATCCTCAACAGTGTGCCTTTTTTGGAAGTCCTTAATTAAACCATCTTGCCAAGGGACAGCTATAGAAGTCTCCCTGGGAACATTCTAGATGATGCTCTTTATGTAAATCTCCAACCAGGGCCATTATAATAGATATATAATTCTAGAAGCCCAAAGCTTTGTCTAACAGTGGGCCATTCTGGAACTTTCCAGCTGTGCCCTCTTAAGTAGCCTTCACATTTGAAGCAAGTAGAATGTTTCCAAACTTGCCCCACTGTAACCAAGGTGGACCTTAGTGGAGAAGTCAAGGTGGAGACATAGTGAGGGGTGCCCTGGCCCAAGGAGGAGGTAAGAGAGGGTTACATGCTGGGAGGGTGTGCCAAGTCCTATTCCCACTGTGCTGGGACCTGCCAGCATACCCTTGCTTCTCCCACCCCAAAGCCCTGCCACCTCACCGCAGCATAGGGGTCTCCGAGGTTCCAAAACTGCAGCTCATATTGTAGCTTGCCCATCAGCACGTAGAAGGTGGGATCTTCATAATTGGTGTGCCAGGAGATAACATAGCGTCCAGAGAAGGTCATGGTCACATTGAAAGGAGGAGCTGGCTTGACTTGGAGGAAGACCCAGAAAGATGAAAAGGGGTAAGGATCTGCAGGAAGCAGATTCTCCCCTGACATTTCCCAAAGACCCTGGGAGGCTTTGAACAAAGCACTCCCTGGCCACAGCCCCTGTTCATTTGGATTAGATCTGGGTAAAACCTTGGCTGAAACAGTGAAGTAGGCCTGGGGACTGCGGGGAAAGAGACAACACATTCAAACTTAAAGGCCGGAGCCAGGACTCAGGCCCAGGCCAGCTGGGGGCAGGCATATAGACAAGATCCTCTGTGATTTCTTAGGAGAAAAGGAAGAGTAAAGCAAAAGCTGGAACTCTAGACAGCTGAAGGAAGTTTCTTAAGAAATGTTAGTGCCTAATGTGAAACATGCCTAAGCAAGGTGCCCCCCTATTTGGCTGTTTTTAATTTCTCTCTTAAAGGGGTCCCATACCACATGGAGATGCATAAATATAAACAGATACATACTCTGCCATGTACCAAAGCTGCTGACCCAGCTAGCGTAGGCTAGCGTAGGCTCTAGGGACAGCTGCAGCCAGGTCCACCCTAGGGCCCTCCTAACCTTAGGCCCCTCCCATCCAGCTGGGAGGGTTCCATGTTAGCCAACTGGTGCTCATTCACTAGAAGCAGAACCCTAAAAGGTCATGTTTAACTGGTCTTCACGAGGTATACCTTGTCCAGAGTCAGGCAGACAGAGAGGGCTAAGCTGGGCCCCACCCTACGTCTTTCCAAGCCTCTGATGTTCCTCTTGGACATTTAGACCAAATTCCATATCAAATCATCACACCTTAGCTAAAAACAGGGCATCTAAGAAGGACACTCTAAGGACAGTGGGTTTTGATGGCATGAGAAGAGCTTGCTTTGAGGTTTGAGAAAGTCCTGGATCCTCCTCAGCTTGGGGTTCATGGTACTCACTGCTCTCAGCCAGGACAAAGCTGCCACAGTCCTGGGAGTTGTTGCTGGAGTGGTCCATCATGTTGACAACGAAAACATCATCGGCCATGAATCCAGACAAGGGCATGTGGCATGTGTACCGCACATGTGTGGCATTGTGGCTCGACCTATGCAGGCTGCAAGAGGTTTCCTTTTCCTGCAGTTCCTCGTATTCATCTTGCCTTGAGGGACGGAGTGGCCAGTCATGGCCAGGGACAGTGGAGTTCAGTGCCCAGAGCAGGGCAGGAACTCAAAGCATGAGAGTGAGAGGGGCTGGAGGTAGGGCTGGGGGTCATGGTCCAACCAACCCTCTCCCAGGGACAGTCCCCTCTCTGCGGCATCCGGCATGGTCTGAGTCCAGACACTGCTTGCATACCTCAGAGGACAAGTCGCTCACTACCTTGCCCAGGGCAGAAGCTTTGGGAACTGGGGCCTAAACCTGTCTCTGTCTATTACGGTGAATAGACTGCTGTCCTCTAGGAAGCCTAGGCAAGTTCCTCCCTCCTTTCTGTCCACCACCACTGAGCACCCCCAGGTCTGTACTTTGAGGCATGTAAGCTTCATTCTCTGCCCTACAGAACTTCCAGGGACACTGGTCAGGTGGAGTAGTGGTAAATGCCTTGGCTCTTGAACTCCCACTGGGCAGAAAGGATGGGCTTTAGAGTATATATAGAAATACACGGAAGTTTATTTTCTTCCTTCCGCATATGTTCAATGTCTGAACATGACCCCCCCTCCAGGACTAATGTGGATCTGCAGACTTATTTAGTTCTTTGCTGAATTTTCTGTAATACAAACCTTGCCAAACAACATTGTTCATGCAAGCCTCCAGGCCTGGACCACTATAAGGCTGTCTGAAGGTATTACCCTCTCACCCACTGTCTCTGAGCTCCATCCCTCTCACACAGCTGCCAGAAGGGCCTACAAAGCTCCCAGAAACCTGCTGCCCTGCCTCGTGCTGCCCTGACTTCATAGTTTACTATTCTCCCTCACTCTGGCTCTCTTACTCAGGCCACAGTAGCTGCTGAACTACATTTGCAGCTCTTGCTCCCCATGGCCTTCACACATGCTGTGCCTGCTGCCTGCTGCCTGACCAGCCCAGCTGAACATCCATGGCTCCCCACCCTGCAGTCTTGAGTCTTGTTTGGGTCCTCTACCCCTACAACATGCCAGGATGAACACATGAAAGGCAAGTGGTCTCTATCCTAAGCAGCATGTGGGACCATAAGCACACCGGCTACAAGACTTTGGTTCAGTGGCTAAACCTCTCTGAACTTCAGCTTCCTCATCTGGAACACAGTAGCAACAATTTCAAGGTCATTCATGGTGAGGACACAGCACCTCCTCAGTGCTTAGACGATCATTGGGCACTGGCCATCCCAGGACTGCTAATCCAGGCAGGACTATGAGGGCAAGAGAGTATGACCCTTGGGGTAACCCTCGGGTGGGTGTGGTCAGCCTTCGGCCTCCTATCTGTGTGTTCCAGGTGAGTCCTGTGAGCTTGGTCATCTGTAAGGTAGGGACCTGGCTCTCAGTTCACAGTCTCTGTGAGTGACATTGCTGGTGGCAGGGATGGGCCCTTGTTTGTAGCTAAGCTTCCTGATGAGCATGCCACAGGTCAGCTCAGCCCAGGCCTCTCTCTCACCCCGCCACCCTCTCTGAGCAGTTCCTCAGCCTGGGAGGCATGGTTACTTGATGGGGGATGTCCTTCTGCATGCCGTGAATATATGTTTCTCTTTTTGGTTGATGATTAAAGCTGTTTTGTCTAATGGACAGGCAGGATGTAGCCAGGCAGGAAGTATAGGAGGGGCTACCAGACTAGGAGAATTCTGGGAAGAGGAACACAGAGAGTGAGTCTCAAGAAGATGCCATGTAGCTACTGGGAAGATAAGGTGCCTGGACACTCTCCACTAAGCCAACACCATGTGGAAGTACATAGATTAATAGAAATGGGTTAATAATTAAGAGAGAGTCTGCCAATAAGAAGCCTGAGCCATAGGCCAAATGGTTTACAATTAATATAAGCCTCTGTGTGTTTATTTGGGTCTAAAGGGCTGTAGGACCAAGTGGGACAGAAACTTCCATCTTTAGCTACTCACCAGGTGAGAATGAGTGTGTTGGGGTGGAGGTTCCATGTCTCCAGGACACAGGTGACAGTCCAGAGGTAGTCAGTGTAGCAGGTGAGGTTCAGGCAGGCCTGAGCTGGAGGAATAGCAGAGAGGCCTTTTTTTGGGTGAGAGACAGTAGGAAGGCCGGGGCAAGCTGTCTGAGGCTGAGGACAAGTTAGGGCAGAGTCACAGGCTGGGATGAAAGCTTGGAACACAGGGACTCTTGTTACTTGGAATTCCTTGTGTGAGTTCCAACATTTCAAGACTGGTCATAGTGATGAGGTTCTTCTGATGTGGAATTGGGCCCCCTATTTGGTCCCCAGGCCACACTGTCCCTTCAGAGGGTAAGACACTCTGAACTCCCCATAGGCAGATAGACAGATTCCCCGAGGCCAGAGAGAGTGGCACAGGTCATTGTCTGAGCCCATGGCCTCAACCAGGGGAGGGGCTTAGGGAGGATGGTGAAAGAGTGGGGAAGACTTCTGTGGTTTATAGGAAAGCTGGCTGTGCCACTGTCAATGACAGCATAGCTACCAAGATAAGACCAAAGCAAATGCCGCAGTAGGGACTGGCTGGAAGAGTCACCTCTACCCTCACCCTCCCACCCTCCACCCCAGCTATTTGTTTCACTTTCCAAATGGCAGGTGCAACAGGCACATCTGGCTTCCCAGCACTTGGGGAATGGAGGCAGGTGGGTTGCTAATTCAAGTCCAGCTTAGGCTACACAGCCAGACCCTGTCTCAAAAGGGAAGAAAAAGTATCTAACTAATTACTAAATCAAAATAATAGAGAATTCTAAATATTACCCCTCTGTCAGGTATGTAGTTATGGAAGATGTCTAGGGGAACAAAGAGAATAATGGAAGGGGGTCCAAGAAAAGGGAAGCTGAGTGGGGACGAAGCAGAGGGACTATGCTCTCATGCATAAGAACATGATAAAGTAGGGATGCAGTCATTGTCCAAGTTTTGTTCAATGTTTGGCCAAATGAGCAGAGCCATTTTGGATTTTGCTTTGTAAAACTGCATGCCAGCACCCATATCTTCTCCCCACACACTGGAAATGAGCTTTTAATAAGTGGCTTCTTCCTTCTGCTTCCTGGCCCATGAAGACCCTGAAACCGTGGACTTCGTTTCAGAGTTCTGAGCTAGATTCCAAGGCTAGACCTGGGCTGTAAAGGACAGCACCAAGGCTCCAAGGGAAAACCGCTTTCCTGGGCTGCTGAGCTCTGTTCCCGGGAGCAGCATCTTCCCATCCATATGCCCGGTAGACTCTCCTGGTGAGTCCCAGCATTCTCTCCTAGGCTGGCCCCAGAATCTTTCTCACAGTTCTTAGGTAGACCGGACCAATGGCTCAGTGGGTAAAGGTGCTTACTGCCACATCTAACATATTGATTTCAATCCCTGGAACTCACTTCCTGGGGGAAAGGTGAGAACTGACTACTGCAAGTTGTCCTCTTTGGCAACATGCACAGCACATATACATAGGAAGGGATGGAGAGAGGGAGGGAGGGAGGGAGAGAGAGGGAGGGAGGAAGGGAGAGGGAGGGATGGAGGGAAGAAGGGAAGGAGGAGAAGATAAGGGAAGAAGGAAGGAAACAGTATAATACAGTGCCAGGACTTGTACACAGTAGACAAGTACTTACTACCACTGAGCTATAGGCTTGGGATGGGACAAGCCACTGGGGGCAGAAAAAGCAGAGTCCATAGACTGCTGAGAGGTGCCTGCTAAGGCCAGAGTGTGTGAACAAGCCAGGCAGCACCCCACAACTCGATGGCACCCAGGCATCCCGTAGAGGTTACTACAGTGTGCAGGATGCAGCCACACCCTCACTAGGTTTCCGTGGCCTCAGGATTAAACCTGCCTCCGTGCTATCCCTAAGCGGGCTACATAGGTCCCCAGTCTACACAGATCTCCAGCCTCCACACCCACATTTGGGTGAGGTCAAGCCCTTATCGCAGACACTGCCACATAGAGCAGCCACTTGACACAGCAGCAAGCTGGGGCAGGAGGATTCCGACAACATACTGAAACCTTGTCTCAAAACCCCCAAATGAATGAATGAATGAATCAATGAATGAATGAATGAACAGCAGCACAGCAGGTGCCTGGGGCCCTGTTAAAATCAGGATATATGTGTCCCATCAGACAGTCTGACCACAGAGCATGTGAGGAGGTGGGGCCTCCAAGGATAATAGCTCCTCTGGGGGTCTAGTGGTATTATGGTGGCTAAAGGTGCCAGATTCCTCTGTGCTCCCATTCTGCCACCCCATCATAAAAACAAGAGGCCCAGCACCACACTGGTAGTAGATGCCTAGCTTCACCAGCCATAGAGTACTCTGCACCATGACCCCGAGTGCCCAGCCCTGGGACTACAAGACATGTATGTGGGTTGTGACCATGCATGTACTCATGCAAATTATAGACAGAGGGTTTCCTCAGTCTTTCTTGACCTTATCTTTTTGTTTTTGTTTTTGTTTTGTTTTTTGAGATAGACTCTCCCACCCAGCCTGGAGCTTACCCATTTGGCCAAAGCTGCCTGGCCAGTATGCCTCTGGGATACCTCCCCAATGCTGGGATAATAGATATGCTCAGCTGCACCAGGTCCCTTCTGTGGGTCCTGATGCTGGAATGACAGGCACTTCACAGAAGCCATTGTCCTGCCCAGGTATCTGTTCCTCATAGTTTATCTTAGTGCCATGGGACTGAGGCAGACCTAAGAGTCAGGCAGCCACCCCCAGAGTAGCCACGGGGTTTGCATTCTCTGTCTCCTCCACTGATGACATCCTAACCAGGCTCCATAGGAGGAGCAGGAGGTGACATTCTAGCCTTAGTGTGTGACAGGGGTCTGTTACCCAAGTCCTACTCTTACCCCCTGCCCCCAGTGCAGGCGCTATAGGGGCTTCCAGAGCAGGCAGGGTGTCACCAGCAGAAAGGGAAATCAAAAGCCGGTCCTGTTTCCTGCGGGAGCTATTTAAAGTGCTGGATATTTCGGTAAAAACCAGAGTAAATGTTGCTGAGTCTGCAGAAGGTCAAGTTCCCCTCACCCTGGGTGGCCTCTCACTTCCTGACTCTTGATGGGGAGAATGCCCTCAACAGGACTCTTGACCTGCAGCTCTGATGCCTCCCCTTGGGACTGCTATCAAAGTTTGGCTCCTCTATCTCCACCTCCTTTTCCTCCAGCCTGCTGAAGGTTCATGACCCAAGTGAGAGTCTTGCACCAAGGCCAGGACTTTCTTGCCATGATGGGGGAGAGCTTTTTTGTTTACTGGAGCTCTTTGGTTCCCTGGGTTCTAGACAGTAGAAAACGGGGCTTTCAGCTTTTGTGCCAAGTAGACAGAGGCTGTAGATTGTGAGTCAGTGGCCAGCAGCCATGACCAGGAGCCATTTGGCTGGCCCCTGCTCCATTTTGTGGGAGGAGATGGGCCCACCCCCCACCCCCACCCCGCTGCCATGGGACTGGGACTTACCTCCCTGGAGGATCAGCAGGAGCAAGGGAGCAGCCAGGCCCTGTGGCATGCTGTGTCCCAGACCTGCAAGACAAGTGTGTGATATGTGAGGTGAACCAGCTGCAGCCATGCACTGAGCAGCCTCCCCACCCAGGGTCTGGCCTTGCCACATCAAAGGACTAGTCTAAGGCTCACAAAGAAGCCCCCGGTTGAATAATAAAGATAAGGTGAGCCCACAGTAGGTGGGTGGGGAGGGTGCTTCTTATTCCAATAGGAGGCCCAGCTGGCCTACACAGGCACACGAGGAAAGCAAGGCCACCAAACAAAGCTGCCCGGAGCCCCTGACTGGCTGAGATGGACAAAGGCCATTGTAGGACCAAGGAAGTGATGATACTGTGGGCAGAAACCCATAGATGGCCAACACCAGGTTCCTCCTGCCTTTTGCCTGTGGAAGTGCTAGCCCAGGAGTACCACCTGCCCAGGCTCAAGAACCCCATGCAGGCCTGCTCCTCCAGATTGGAGCTGGAACCAGGACCTTGAGGGAAGACAGCCCATGCACAGATCAGGTCAGACCCATGGCTTTTTCCAAACACCATCCCTAATCCCACAATAAGACAATGCTTCGCCTAGGGTTCCCCTAGATCCAGCAGCGCTAACTGGGCTACATGACCACCACCAAAGAAACAGTATAGGGGACCAAGGTTCAGATGGCCAGCTGTATGCTCCAGGCCAGCCTCTTGCTGTCTCTGGGCCTCATAAAATGAAGTAATGAAGGCCTGTCCAGAGCTTTGTAATAATTCAACCAGCTAATGTGCAGAGAAAGCTGGGTCTAAGTTCTGCCACACAGCAGAGCTGTCTGAGCTAGAGCAGAAGGCTCTAGAACAGAACCCCAGGAACAGTGTTCCCAAGGGGCTTTCAAAATGCCTCACCCTCAAAAGTATTTATTTAATGTTTTTCTGTAAATGGCCTTAAACATTTGACTTCAACCCCAGTCTAAAAATTACCACTCATGGATGCACACTTTTTCCACAAGGGTGTATCTCCCCCCTTTCCTTCCCTTCCCTCTTGAGATAGTCTTAACTATGTAACCAAAGCTGGTCTTTATCCTGCGAACTTCTTGCTTCAGCCTCTGCCTCTAACTATTGTAACTATAGTCATTGCTCTAACATCAGTATTAGAATAAAACATTATGGAAAATGTCAACTTGCTGCTTCAAGTAACATTGATCTTGGGTGGCCCTGATCTTGGGAGGGCCCTGCCCTCCCAAGTCCTGTGTTATGGTTGGGCTGTGTCCCTCCAACTTTGTGTGTCAGAACCTAACACCCAAATCACACTTTAACAGAATGGAGGAGATAAGGATTTGCTGAGGGCATGAGGGTGGGGTCCATCCTGGCATTAATGAGTTTTAAATAGAGCATGGCCCGAATGGAACTCAGTGTTCAGCATTTGCCTACACACAGGGGAGTCCCTGGTTTCTGCCCCCCGGCATCGGGAAAGAAAGATGAGGGAGGAAGGGGCAGGAAGGGAGGGAAGGAAAGAGAAAGAGATCCAAGCTGGTGCACCAGCTGTGCCTCCTCTCACAGTCCTCTACCATGCTCTGATGATACTCCTTCCCTTGGGCTCCCCGGGTGCCAGAATCTCAGCTGAACAAACTTCCTTCTCATTTCCCAGTCCCCGGTGTTTTGTTACAGTGTCAGACTGAACAAAGCCATGCTATTACAGTCTGAAGAGGTGACTCCTGACCACAGGAGGGTGGCTCCAAGCGGGCCCTATTTTACAATGTTAGACCTATGACACCAGCACCAGCACAGTGGAGAACTCTGTCACATCTTAGTCGCAGGGAAAGTAGAGAGCCTGCCCTTTGTCAAGAGCCTCTTCTCCCCCTCTTCATACTACAGCTTTGCACAAGCCACCGGCAGACAGCAGATGCTCTGCCTGCCCAGATTGCCTCATGACACGCCTCATAAACTGCATCCCCTCTGCATGGCCCACAGCAGGTTCTGAGCCAGGCCTGGTCAAGTCAAGCACCCACTTGCCTCAGTGTGCCCTGCCACAGTGATTAGATAGAGCAAGACACAAGCTCAGGGAAGCCGGTGGCATCCAGCCTGACCTCCTCTCTAGAACTCTGGCTCTGATGTTTTTTCTGGGCACCTACCAGAAACCTGCAGCCACCTTGGTCATCTCTTAGAGTGTACCTTAGCTCGAAGTTTCAGGGGGTTCAGCCTGTCCCAACAGGAAGGTGTGGTAGAGCAGCTCAGACAAGGTGACAGGAGTATGTGGCAGAGGCAGTTCCCATCATGGTAGCCCAGGAAGCAGGGAGCAAGGCAGGAACCAGGGTGAGTATCACCTTCAAAGGCTCATCCCCCAGAGACCATCTTCCTTCATCCAGGAGCCCCCCCCCACCCCCCAACATAGGGACAAGTATTTAAATACATGAGCCTGTTGGAGACACACCAGATTCAAGCCACAACAGCAGGGCTACATTAAGAACGTGGATCAGGTTGTATCTGATGTCCATATCTGAACCTTCCATTTACATGAGCCCAAACACCCCTATCCTCCAACACTGTTATATTCCCATTGCTTTTTCCAAAGAAGCCTGGCATAGAAGAGTGGAGGAAGGGCCCAGCATTGGCAGTCAGCTGATCTCTGAGCCTCCTGTCCAGTGGCCTCAGTTGCCAACTCTGAAACGGGCACATTCTCTACCCCTGAACCTTCACAGCTGAGAGCAACCAGTGGGGTGTCAGAGGTGAACATGGAGTCCTGCTGAGCCCTGGCAGCTGTCTGAATACCCCACTGTTCTCATCTGCCTTCTGCTGCTGTAGTAAACACCATGGCCAAGGGCAACTAGGGAATAAAGGGCTTATTTCATTTTATAGCTCTCAGGTCACACTCGATCCCTGAGAGAAGTCAGGGCAGGAACCTGAAAGCAGGAGCTGAAGCAGAGGCCTTGGAGGGGTGCTGCTTCCTGGCTTGCTTCTCAAGGCTTTGCTCAGCGTGCTTTCTTATACAACCTAGGACCTGCTTAGGGAAAGCACTACCCATGGTGGGCTGAGTTTCCCACATCAATCAATAAAATGTCCCACAGGCTGCCTTCAGGCCAGTCTAATGGAGACATTCTCCACATTGAGGTTCCCCCTTCCCAAATGACACTAGCTTGTGGCAAGTTGACAGAAACCAACCAGCACAAATACCCTCTCCAAGCACCGCTGCCCCCGGTGCCTGGCTGCCTCTGCATAATGATTCCTCTCCCTGTACCACAGCCCTTCCTATCCTTACATGCTGCCTTTGTGGCTCATTTGCTCTATCTAGCTGGGCTAGAATGTTCTAGAACCCATGTCATTCACTCTTTACCTTTCCATGGTGCTATTTCTACTTACTATCTTTACCTTGCCAACCATCGTTTTACTCCAATTAACTTGTGTCAAAAGAAAATAGTACATTATCACCACTGACAGTTAACCAGGATGGAGCCAAGAGGCAGTGGGCAGCATGCTAGGGACGTACACTGTGGAGCTGGCACAAACTCTGTTCAAACCCAGACTTCGTGATCTCAGGCAGGTGGTTAACTATTCTGAGCCCCCGGCCCTTATCTGTGAGTGCCAAAGATAAAGTTTCCATGCTCTCAGAACCTTTGGGAAATTAACTTGGTACTTGTGAAACAGTTGCATCAGCCAGCAGCAGGCTCAGGGTAAAGGATACATGTTTGTTTTAATTACATTAGTCTTGTGTATGTGTGTGCTCTCATGCAAGTGTATGTGCGCATGAGCATGCCAAAATACACATATGGAAGTCAGAGGACACCCTGAAAGAGTTGGTTCTCTCCATTGAGTGGGTTCCAGGTATTGAACTTGAGTCATCCAGCTAAGCACCTTTACCAGCTAAGCCATCTCATGGGCTTACATAAAACTTCCTTAAACAAATGACAATCAGCTTGCTGGAAAGCTAGCCCGGCCCTGTGAGATGGAACAGCTGACAGAAAGAAAGTACAGCCCAGCCACACCACCTTCCCAATATTCCAGGAGTTGGAAATTCCCCTCTGTTTTTCTTTAAAGTAGGGGGCAGGGTGTCAGAAATATTGGAAGATGGCTAGCACCAAATGTGGATGCTGGCTTTCTGCTTTGAAGGCTCTTTCACACTCCTGCTCCATGGTCTGAGGACATGCCAGTGGCTGTTGCACCAAGGGAACAGTAGCTGTCAGTGCTGAAGGCATCCCGTCACTCCCTCCTCACACTCTGAGCACCAAAGGGCTCTTCTCATCCCTCTTTGCCCTGACTCCTCTTCTGGGATGCACACGAGGTTCACAAGAAAGGCAGGGAGTGTTCCAAGAGCTTCTGCAGACCCTCACAGTGGGAAGCAGAGGACCTGCAATCTACTACATCCCAGCTATGTGTTTGGGGCAGGTTACCTAGCTGCTCAGATTCTGTGTTCTCCACTATCGGTAGAGGTCAAGGGCCTTAGCTGAAGCTGGTTGTGAGTGCTGAATGCATTGTTGCATGGGGACCTATCAGAGTGTTTATCTACCAGGCCCCAGGCCTGTGTTTGGGATGATGCAGACTAATAGCTAACCGCATTTCAGGAACTCAGAGGGAAGTGGAGAAGGTTAGGGGTAGCAAATGAGACTGAAAATGAGGGCCACAGAGAACACAAGAGCCTAACCTCTCAGTGAGCAGAGAAATGCAAATAAAACCACAACGGCTTACCACGGACACTTTATCAGATGTCATCTGGCATCACTCAGCGTCTGATACACAGGGACTGCTATTCGTGGCCAGGGAGAGGTGGCGATAGCACTGGTCCAGAAAATAGTTTTTTTTGTGACCTAATGAATGCAGAGCGCGGCTTCCCTAAGAGGCAGCCCCACCATGCCCATGCTCACCAGCATCTGAGAAGCTAACAGAAGCCTCGCCAGGCTTAGTACTGAGGAACTAGCAACACCTAAGTCATCTTTAGTGGGGGATGGGGAAAACAAGTGGGGCTTTGGAGTCATTTCCATGGCTCACACTCACAGCAAAGCAGGTGACTCACAAGATGGAATGTGTACCGAAAAGAAGTCAAGAAAGAACGTGAAGGATGATGTCATCCTTGTCATTCTTGGAGACACAGTGAAGTATTCTACGAGCTGTTTAAGTGGATAGATGTCTGTTGTTTGTATAAAGGAACTTGGAGGGAAGATAAGCATCCCACCCCCCCTTTTTTTTGAGACAGGGTCTCGTTACATAGCCCTGGCTGGACTATAACTACGTAGATCAGGTTGGTGGCAAACATGCGAGTTCTGCCTGTGTCAGCCACCTGAGTGCTGGGAATAAAGGTGCATGCCACTGTGCCCAGTTTGAAACACTGCATTTTGAACAACACACAGAAAGAAGAGGCTGGAAAGGTGTTTCCATGGTTTAAGAAAGCCCAGTGACAGACACTGTGTGGTCTTTTCCTGTGTCTAACCCTTCTCATAGCCATTTAAAGGCAAGCAATTTCAGCACAAGCAAATCTTTGTGTGAAATACCATGTGCATTGATGATCTGCACTGTGGGGTGGTGGTGCACTCAGGCTGATGCCCCTACTAAGAGGCACTGGCAAGCCTGAGGTGAAGTGGGTCAGCCAAGTGAGACGGAAAATGACAGAAGGAACAAGCCTTCAGATCCTTCTCTTCCCTCTTCAATGATTCCCCAAGTCATTGAAGATGGGCAGCCAGAAGTCCGCCACAAAGCACTTGGAGATGGGCTGAGAGGCCACGGTAGCTTTCGGCAGTTTCACAAAGCTGAGGGAAGAATTGGGGCTGGGACTGGTCAGTACTCAGTCACCCAGCAAAGGCTGAGAGGCAGGAATCCCGACTAGCTCAGAATCTGCCATCCCAAGGAAACGCTGTGTGTGTGTGCTGTATGTCTGTTAGAAGGAAAGGGAAATCTATCTGGAAAGCATCAGCTTCATCCACATCTTCATTCCCGGTACCCGGAGTTCCGTTAGTGATAAGGCGAGCTGTGCACAGAGCTCATGACCAATAAGCCAGAGCACAGGGCATCAGAACAGCACAATGGTGCAGAGTCTGGTGCTGCACTTACAATTACTGCAGTTGTCCTGCTTGAGAGTTCCTGGGCCCTGGCTTGGGGGCACACACCTTTACTCTCAACGCCAGGGAGGTAGAGGCAGGTAAATCTCTGTGGGTTTGAGGCCAGTCAAGGTTACACAGTGAGACCCTTCTTAGAAAAATAAATACAAAAGAGTTCTTGGTGGGAGTGTGTAGCTCTGTTCTACAACTAGGTGTAGGTGTGAAATGTGAAGGCCCTGATCGACAGGAGGGGAGGGGAGAGTGGGAGAGGAGCAGGAGGGAGAGAGAGGGAGGAAGAGGGGGGAGGGAAAATTCTACTTATATTTAAAAAGCAAAATTCTGAAACTCCTGGGATTTATAAGCAGCGAAGAGATGGATTTGACAAGAGATTAGAAACATCAGAAGAGGACTTGGGAGTTGGTTTGCTCAGCCAAAAGCAGACGGAGGAAGAAATGTTCCAACACACAGAAAACAGCAAAAGACACACCTGTAGCCCACCCACCTACCCACTCACCCTCTGTCCAAGAACCAAGGGCAAAGATTCTCATACTCACAACAGTCCGACATTAAGTGTGGGATTCTTACCCACCCATTCATAGTATTGATTCCACCTTCATTTTTAAACAGCACACACCTTCCATAAGTACAGTTACTGTTGTATACATTAATTTGTCCCTTTTACTGAGGACCTTTGCTTGGTTAGTTTTTGAAACAGAACATGCTGTGTGGCCAGGGATGATCTTAACTGTCAACCTGATCAGATTAATAAACACCAGAGAAAGTACACTTTTGGGGGTGCTGTGAGGCATTGCCAGAGGCAATGGGGTCCTGACATTCTGAGTTACTAAGGGATCACCCCCTGACAGGTTTATGATATGAGGCATTGTTGCAGCATGGTGCAAAGTAAGAGGTGGGGGAAGGGTGGAGGAAGTCAGTAATGGGTTGTGTCTTAGGGGGTCTGTCTTGCCCTGGCCCCTTCCTGTGCTCCCTGTCTGTGCTTTTTCTCTGCTTCCTGGCCACCATGCCATGAACTCCTCTGTCCCTAGGTACTCTCCCCATCATGATGGACTGATACCTCCGCATCTGTGAGCCGAAATAAAAGTTTTCCCCATTAAATTGTTCTTGTCTGATGTCTCCTCACAGTAGTTAGAAAAGCAATGAACCCAGTAGTTAATAAAGAAAGAGACTAAGCCAGAAGTAATAACAGAGCTACTGGTTAAAGATTTTTCCACGTGCACAAAAGACACAGCCACTGATTCAAAAAGTTCTATAAATCCCAAGGAAGATAAATTCAAAGAAAACTCTATCCAGGAACATCACAGAAATGCCTCCTCTCTTCCTCCTCCTCCATTTTCTCTTTTCAGACAGAGTCTCATGTAGCCCAGGCTGGCCTCAAGATCCTCTAGCTATGTAACTGGGGCTGATCTTAAACTTTTGATCTCCTGTCTCTGCCTCCCAAGTGTTAGGATTATAGGTGTGCACCATCACACTGCTTTATGCTGGATAGGGCATCAAATCCAGTGCTTCATGCATACTAAGCAAGCATTCTACCCACTGGTCTACATCCTCATCCTAGGAAAACTATATTTAAAATTAAAGACAAAGATGGGCAGTGGTGATGTATGCCTTTAATCTCCTGGAGGCAGATGCAGGTAGATCTCTGAGTTTGAGGCCAGCCTGGTCCTAGAACAAGTTCCAGGATGACCAGGGATACCCTGTCTCAAAAAAACAGACAATGACAATGATGATAATACTAATAAAGTTAAATTTAAGACAAAGATACACTGAAGGTACTGCAGAGAGAAAATAATTTACCTTCAAAGACTGACAGATGACTTCCACAGAAGTAACAGAAGACAGGAAACAATAGAAAAAAAAAACCTTAAAGGCTAAAAAATTTAAACATAAACATACAATTTTATATACTACATGTATATCTATCTATATCTAGAAAAAATTTATATCTAGCAAAAATATCCTTTAAGGGCTCTCAGATAAGCACCAAACTTATATAAAGGAGTGTAACAAACAAGGTGATAGAAATCATAGTGATATTTTTGAAAGATGGGAGGTCTTGGTATGTAGCTCAGGATAGCCCAGAACTCCTGGGCTCAAGTAATCCTTTGGCATCAGCTCCTATGCACCTGGGACTGCAGGCACACACCATCACACCTCTCTGAGAGTGACAACCATGCTCAAGAGTAGAACATCTAAAAGGAAGGAAAAGAAGAACAAGAATAGATTGGACCCAAAAAAACAAAAAGACAAAAATAGCAAGACAGTTGTTTTTACAGACTTAACCCCAAAGACATTAGTATATCTATTAAGTTTAAATAAACTCGACTCCAGAATGTAAACCAACCATGACATCAACAACTGAGGTTAAAAGGAAGTAAAATTTCACAAGTAAAATGCAGAAATTCTAAACAAAATGATTCCATTCAGATATAATGATACCAAAGTAGCTAATACTTTTTCATATCATTTATGCCAATATGGAAAGGAGGTTTGACCATCTATTTTATTCCATTTACAGAAGAAAGTAAAATTTTATCTGACTATTCAGTATGTTCAGAAAACATTTAATGAACTGATACATCCATTCATGGTTTTGAAAACTTGTCAAAAAATAAAATCCCTTGATCTCAGGAACAGAGGAATACTCTTACTCTGATAAGGACACACAGAAACAGTGAACACAGCTGCAGTGTCCCTAATGGCCAATTGCTCAACATATGTTTTTGTTTTGTTGAGTCAGAATCTTGCTATGTTCCTAAGATAGCCACAAGCTCCTTCTCCTCCTGCCTCAGCCTCTTGAGTGCTGAGTTTACAGAGGCGTACCAACATGCCCAAATCAAATATTAAACACATTCATCCTAAGGATAGGAAAAAAAACAAGAACATCTATTATGATAATGGTCCCATCCAATACAGTAAGGCAGCAACAAGGAAAACCTCATGAAGATTAGAAAACTAAGTGCCTGCTGGGCATACCTTTAATCCTAGCACTCAGGAGGCAGAGGCAGTGGCAAATGGATCTCTATGAGTTCGAGGCCATCCTGCTCTACAAACTGAGTTTCAGGACAGCCAGGGCTATACAGAGAAACCCTGTCTGGGGAGGAAGAAAGGAAGGAAAGAAAAGGAAGGAAGGAAGGAAGGAAGGAAGGAAGGAAGGAAAGTACTGCAACAGTATAAAGAATGAGTACCTAGAAAAGCCCAAGACATGGCATAGACAAATAGGAATCATTTTAACGTGATATAGGCATATATGAAAGTCCATAGTAAAACAAACAAAATCCCAACTTACTCTGAGATCAGAAACAAGGCAAGGACTCACTCACTCTTGCCACCAATGTTCAACTGGAAGTCTTAGAGCAATTAAGCAGGAAAAAGAAATAAAGGACTGTTAAAAAGAAAGAAGTAGTTATCTCTGTTTGCAGATAACATGACCTTATACATGGAAAATACTAAGGATTTTACACTGAAAAGTTATATTGAATACAGGAATTCAGCAAGGTTGGAGAATGCAATATCAAGACATAAATATTAGTTACATTTTTCTATATACATCAAAAGGGAAGTTAAGGGGTGGGAGAGATGGTTCTGTGGCTCTGAGAATTTGTGGCTTTCCAGAGGACCCTACATTCCCAGCACCCGCCATAGCACTGTAGCACCATAGCACCATAGCACCGCTCACACTCACCTGTAACTACAGATCCAGAGGATCTGATGCCTCTGGCCTCCTCAGGCCCCTACACTCACATGTATATCTCCACATGCAGACACAGGTCTATACATAATTAAAATAATAAAAAATTATATAAGTTGGTCAGACAATTCCATTTATAGTAGCATCAAAAACAATAAAACACTTGGAGAAATGTAGCACATTATTAA